AAAATGTTAACATTGGAAAAATTGAAATTGAGGCTCTACTTATTTACTTGAGGTTGTCTTCAGGTATAGATTATAAAAAAAGAGCACATGTTTAAGCCAAGGTAATGTAGCTGCTTCATTATTTTTCTCACTAGTTGCTACGGTGGGGCCCAGATACCCTTAGATAGTAGTAGGCTTTTCATTATAGGGCATCAACAACTATCCAAGAAGGCACCTATCTCCTTTCCCTCACAATTGTGTGAATTCTAGAGTATTTCATTGAGCATGGGCTGTTTATTATAGCTTTAGAAAAAGTGGATTATAAAAAACATATATACACACACACATAATCTCTGTCTCACGATAGATCGTTTAATTACTCTTCTGTTGAAACAAACATCATTTGTTACTCTTCTGTTGAGACAAAGGATGTTCTCAATAGAAGAATCCCTGCTAGACGTTAGCTCATTTTGACATGTAGTTAATATTTACATTATGAGCATCTTTGTATGAACCTAGAACTACCTTGTGCATAGCAAATAGCAGATAAGTGAACTATCTTTTCATCTAATGTATCTTCATATCTCAAATCCGATACTATTTCTCTCTTTCTGTTGTGCTATTTAAGGTTCTGCTTCTTAGGATGTGTATTCAACATCCTCCTTCCTACAATCTTAGTGTTAGGGGTAAATTTATACGATTATTTCAATTTCATGTGGTTCTTTGCAGTATATGGAAAGATATCAATTCTAGAAATTCTTAAAGCAGGGGTGGGTTACCATTTGAGTAATCCATTGGGTATATACTCAGTGGAGTTGCAACTAACTCAATTATTAGAAAGTCAACCTTAATGCTTAGCCCTGTGTTTTGTAGATTGATGATTCTCGTCATGGTTGCTGATAAGGCCAAAACCAACCACTAGTTAGAAACCGCCAAGTGGTAGCATGTTGGGGGAAAAGTTGTCAATTGACAAGCTAACTTGGTCTTAATGAGCTACGAGATAACCTGGTCCTAACAAGCTACAAGCTAACCTRTCTTAGTGAGCTAACTTACTCCTGACGAGCTACGAGCTAACCTGTCTTGGCGAGTTAACCTAGTCCTGGTGAGCTACAAGCTCACTTGGTCCTAACAAGCTGATCTGACACCAATTCATAATATGCACAAGCAACACATAGTTGATTTGATCAGAACATCAATGCCAGCACACTCCATACAGGTCCACTACCTACTACGTACACACAATGTGTCAACTAAGGGAGCGATAAGTGGACTGATCTCCAACCACGTGTGAGAAGCATGTCGGTTCTTGGATGAAGCCCCTTTCCTATAAATAGGTGAGTCCCCTATTCATTTGGACACAATTGAACATGGTAGTACGCTACTATGAACAAGGTAATTGAACAAAATAATCCACTCATTAAAATAGAGTGAGATCGTTCTGTATTTATAATTTTTTTTTACAGTTCCATAACTTAAATATAATTGCTAATTGATACAACTACTTTACAAGACTTTAGTTATCTAGATAATAATAACAACTAACTGTTAACTGAACACTTGACGAGCACGTGTTAGGGATCTATTTTATCTCTAACATCCCCCCTCAAGCTGAACGAGGGTGAAGCAATGTTTCAACTTGGTCTTGAGAAAGGAAAAGTGGGAACTGGTGAGTCCTCTGGTGAAGATATTTGCTAGTTGATCAGCGGAGGAAATGAATCTAACTTCAAAACATTTTTGAGCCACACGTTCACAGACAAAATGAAAGTCAATTTCAACATGTTTGGTTCTCCCATGAAAAACTGGATTGGTTGTAAGATATGTAGCTCCTAAATTGGCACACCAAAGGAATGGAGAGGATGATGAAAAACCTAACTTAGAGAGCAAAGATTGAAGCCATGATAGTTCACAAGAAGCAATAGCTAAAGAGTGGTACTCAGCTTCAATGCTAGACCATGAAATGAGATTTTCACCAAGAAAAACACGATATCCACCATGGGATCTCCTATCATCAAGGCAACTAGCCCAATCAAAGTCTGAGAAGGCACTAAGGCACATGGAGGAACAAGGACAAAGCATGAGACCACAATCAATTGTGCATTTTAGGTATTGAATGATACATTTTACTACTGCCCAGTGAACAGTCATAGAAGAGTGCATGAATTGACACACTCTACTAAAAGAGCATGTGATATCATGATGTGTAATACTCAAGAAATGAAGTGCACCAACAGTACTTCTGTAAAGGGAAGCATTAGAAAGGGATAAAGGGTCATCATCATGTATGGATAACTTAGAACCAATAGCTGAAGAAGAATTACAAGGCTTTGCCCCATCCATACTTGTATGCTTCAACAAGTCCTCAATATACTTTCGCTGTGATAATAATAAATCATGTTGCAACCATTAAGCTTCAAGGCCCAAAAAATAATGGAGAGTATTGAGATTCTTGATTGCAAATTCAGAACCCATAGAGTTAATAACATCTTGGACCACATGAGAAAGGATCTAGTAATTAGTATATCGTCAACATAAACAAGAATACATGTGATATCAGCTCCACAAATTTTAATGAAAATAGAGGAATCGGATTTAGATTCCCTAAATCCCAAGAGGAGAAGATAGTCTCTAAGACGATGGTACCAGGCTCTGGGAGCCTACTTTAAACCATACAACAATTTTTGTAAATGACATACATGTGAAGGGAAGTTTTCATCCTTGAAACTAAGGGGTTGCTCCATGAAGACTTCTTCATGCAAATTGCCATGAAGAAAGGCATTTTGCACATCCATTTGACAAACAAGCCAACTATTGGTGAGTGCAATGCTAAGAACCGTGCGTATAGTGGCAGGTTTAATAATAGGGCTAAAGGATTCTGAGAGATCAAGACCTTTTCTTTGATGAAATCCTTTTGCAACCAAATCAAGACCTTCTGAGAAATCTACACAATATTTGTTGTGGAATACCCACTTACATCCAATAATGTTCATCTTAGGTGTACGTGGTGTAAGCTCCCAAGTTCTATTACGCATTAAAGCATTATATATTTATCACACATAGCTTGTCTCCAATCAGCATGTTTATTTGCTTTAGAGAAACATGTTGGATCAACAAATTGTGATAAAGGATGCCGTGTAGAAGTGGACACACATGGCTTAAGTGAACCAGTCTTTGACCTTGTAAACATGGGATGTCGAGATTCAATAGCAAGAGTGCCAACTATAGATGATTTAGGAGTAGTCTTAGACAATGAAGAATTTGTATTATGTTCAGAAACTATGATAGGTGAAGAAACACCAACATCATAATCAATAGGTGGAGCTTGAAGTGATGAAGAAATAGGGCCATTATGTTGTGTAAGAACATGAGGTGGTTCAATAATGAGTGGTACATTCATCGAAGTTCAAGAGGAGCTAGAAGTTGTATCATGTTGAATCATGATAGCAACCTTAAATGGATGATACTTGGCTTCATTGAAAATTTCATGACTTGAGATGTATACTCTATTTATCGGAACATGAAGACATCTTTACCCCAAGAAAGTGCATGGTAAATAATGAAAATCAAGTTTATGAGAGTTATATAGTCGTGTGAATGGAAAACATTCACAACCAAAGCTTTTTGACCATAAATAATCGGGTTTCTTACCCATTGCCTTCTCAAGAGGATTGATGTGCCCAAGAATAGGGGTAGGTAATCTGTTTACAAGATAAACAATAGTATCAAAGGCATAATACCAGTAGGATAAAGGGAAAACTAACTAGGCAAGTAAGGTTAGTCTAGTGTCAACAATGTGTCGGTGACGTCTTTCAACTGACCCATTCTAAATAGATGTGCCCAAGAACAGGGGTAGGTAATCTATTTACAATGTAAACAACAATATCAAATGCATAATACCAATAGGATAGAGGGACAACTAACTGGGCAAGTATGGTTAGTCCAGTGTCAACAATGTGGCAGACACGTCTTTGACCAATTCTAAGCAGATGTATGGGCATGAGAACCTGTGCAGAATGCCATGCTGGTTTAAGTAAGAAGTGAATTTATGAAACTCACCACCCATGTTAGATTGAAGCACTTTAATTCTTCTACCAAAATAATTCTCAACATGTGCTTTAAATGTAATGAAATGAGAGAAAGCCTCATATTTGAGCTTCATAGGATATATCCATGTAAACTTAGTAAATGAGTCAACAAAGATTATATAATATCTGAACCCATCAATTGATAGAACTGGGGCTGGTCCCCATACATYAGTATATATAATATCTAGTGGTGCATTAACATGAGAAACACTAGGTGAAAATGGCAATCTATGTCCTTTGCTAAGTTGACAAGAGGAACAATAAAAGGGAACTATCTTCGATGTGATTGGAAGATGTGAAGAAGAGATGATGTTATGGACAATCTTGTGACTTGGATGGCCAAGCCCATTATGCCAGACATCAAAGGATACTCTCTCACCAATATCGGCAAAGAAGTCCTTATTCATGACATTGCTACTACTATTGTTGTTATCAAATTGATACTATTCACCAGCCACCAGTTTGTAAAGTCCATTTTCATTCACCCCATGTAGAACCTATGCCCCTGTGTATCAATCCTTTATAACAAAGTGTGAAGGATGAAATTCAAAATAGGCATTGTTGTCATTAGTAATCTGACTAACAGATAATAAGTTTTTGGTAATACAACAGAGAACATTATGAAGAACAAGAGGCCTAGTTGCAGTGGGAAGGATGGAGAAAACAATATGAGAAATAGACAAACCTTCACCATTTCCAACTTTGATATGTTCAGTGCCTGAGCATTCGGAGTGAATGTTCATATTATGCAAATTAGCAGTGAGGTGATTCGTTGCCCCTGAATTAGGATACCAACTATTGTCAGGAGGTTGAGATTGAGAAGAAACATGATATGCTGATCATTGTTGTGATTGAGGTGGGTGTTGTTCATAATTCCTATCCAACCTAAAGTAACAGTTAAATCCATTTCTCTTTCAAATTTAGCAAGGATGATAGGTTTTGTTCTTAGAGTTGTTGTTGTTGTTATTGTTGTACATCCTATTTCCTCTGCTTTTGGATGTATTCTGTTGGTAATCTGATACAGTTTGTTTGTTTCTAGTAGCAACATTTGTAGAGAAAGGAGATATGTCTAGAGAGGACTTAAGATGTTCAAGTCTGATTTCATGATTAAAAAGCATACCTTGAACATCACCAGAAGATACTTGATCTGGGCATGTGGTAATTATGGAAGTCACAAATGATTCATATTCGGGTCCAAGCCCTGATAAAATAGGGAGAACATAATCTACTTGAGACAATGGTTGGCCAGTTACTACTAAATTATCTACTATACCTTTGATTTTACGTAGATATTCCACCATAGTAAGAGTTCCCTTCTTGATTGTTCTCAATTCAAAATGTAATTGCATGATTCTCACCAAAGACTTTGAAGAATACAATCGATCAGGAGTTTGCCATGCCTCTTTGGATGTTGAGCAGCCAATAACTTGAACAAACACACTTTTTGTGAGTGAAGCTTGAAGCCAATTCATCAAGAGTTGGTCCTGTATCTCCCAATTTGCATATTCTGGGTTCATTTCTGTTATAGCATCTATTTCAGTAGTAAGAGTTGCATCTTGAGTGAATAAAAATTTTGGAGGACACTTCTGTGTGCCGTCCACATAGCCCAAGAGTTTGTGACTTCGAAGAATAGGAAGCCATTGAGACTTCTATACTAGATGGTTTGTACCACCAAGCTTGATAGAAATTAATTGTGAAATGTTTACAATAGGAAGGGAAAATACAGTAGAACTAGTTAAAGAGGTTGTTGCAGATGTTGCCATGAATGGAGTATGATGCAAGTCTGATTGCTCTGATACCATAATTGAACAAAATAACTCACTCCTCATTAAAACAAAGTGAGATGGTTTTGTATTTATAATTTTGTTTATAGTTCCATAACTTGAATATAACTGCTAATTGATACAACTGCTTTACAAGACTTGTTGTTATCTAGATAATAATAACTAACTGCTAATTGAACATTTGATAAGCACGTGTTAGGGATCTATTTTATCTCTAACACAAGGCACGTCGGACACCTCAGCACATGGAGCTTACTAGCTCTCCATACGAGCTTTCCAGCTCCCCCTACGAGCTCTTCAACTCATCACATGGAGCTCTTCATCCCATCCATATGAGTTCTCCAACTCTCCTTACAAGCTCTCCAGCTCAAGTTATTTTCCCTTGGCATTACTGACTTAACCGTCGAAGTCCATGCCCTTGGGATCACCCAAGGCCTTTGACGTCTCTTATGGTTACAGGTCTCTCTTAACAACCAATATATTGAGCTGAGGTAACACTTCGAGCCGAGGTGCTGAGCTGAGGTGGCACCTTACTCTAACAGCTTTCCATCCTTGCCCTTATGCTCAATTTTGATCCTCATTAGTTCCCAATAGTGAGAATACTATTGAGCTAAGCTTTGTTGGCTTTTTTTCTTTTTATTATTTTGATCAACAGTTTAATGACTATTCTCTAGGCACCTTAGTGGGGAATTGAAAGATTCAATAAAAGTAAAGTTGTGGCTAGGCTATCATAGCATATTCTAGACTAGTAGGCACAAGCAATTTTGTGAGATCTTAACTCTTATCTCTTATTCATGGGCCCTGACTATCATCTATAGGGGATATTCAGGTATACTATGAGGTTGTGATAGGATGGATGCATGGGTCATGATTATGCTATCAGATTAAAAACAAGCCAATAGGGTTCCAAGATCATTCTATTCAAGTGCTAATAGCCTAGTGGAAGAGGGAGTATTCTGGAGTCAAATGTTTTGGGGCATTGCCACATCATTTGCTTATATTGAACTAATTTTTGTATGTTTGTGAGTAGGAAACCTGCCTATGTGCCAAACTCATTGTATTATTCTTAATTTCATACCAAGTTCAAGGGCTTGTACTTGTACTTTTTCTTTCATATTAGGACAATATACTTACTGTTTCCAAAAAGATTTAAATATGTCTGAAACTATAAAAGAATAAAATAAAATGAATTTCATGTTTCATTCTTCATTGTATTGATTATGAATCATTTCTACATTACATTAATAAGATGGCTTAGATGGATACCAGTGGCTAGAGGTGAAATTATTCTTACTATATTAGTTTCACATACATATTTACCATCCCCTCAACTTGAACCCATAAAACCTGATGTTGACTGATCTGAGGTGTTCTGAACCAAGGACATAATTAGATAATCCTTACCAATTGGACGAGGCCAAGGTGGAAGGACAAAAGGAGATCTATAACCAAGAGAAAGGTCAAAGACCCGAGGAGTTATTCCCTGGGTAACTACTTCGACGCTCAAGTCAGTTTGGTAGAAAAAGAGGTGGTCGGGCCGAGCAGGTTGAAATAATGTTGGTCCGAGCCTAAGAGATAATGCAGAGAGATATTCAAAGAGTGTTCTTCTAAAAGTCCCTTACCTCGAGCGGGGAATACCTATTTATAGTTGGGTGTTCGTATCCTAGATGGATAGGGATTTTGGGGTTATCGGATGAATCGTCTGTTGAGGTCTTTGGAAGATTTCCTCTTCCCCGGTAGAGTCTGCTTCCTTGTCTATGCAAGACACTCCTTAGTCATCCTCTTCCATTACACGTGGTGTCGATGTGGCTGGAGAGAGAGGACGGCCATGGAGATTGCCACGTGACATCCTTGGCCAGCTCAACCATCACCCGAACAAAACCTATGTTAGATGCAAGTCGTGAACTAGATGCATCATTGATCCTTGACATTAGTGGCAGACTTAATTATCAGGACGCTAGAAGTTGTTTGGCAGTGCATAATAGCTTTTGATTTAAAATTATAAATAGAAATCAGTATTTTATGGATTTTGTTGAAGAACTAAATTCTATCAGTAAGGGCTCTGTCATGCTTTATCTTTATGATGGGCTAAAGAAATCACTACAGCACACTATAGTAGCCATGATAGATAGGCACTAGATACTTCCTCTCATTGTCCTTTTTTTATATATATATTTTTCTCTATAATATTTCCTTTTGCATTATTTACCTAATCATCTTTCTACCTTGTATAGTGCCACGTGAAAGGAGCATATATTTTGTTACCATACGGATGCTGAAGAATTTAGTTATCAGATGAGGTCAACTATATTCTCCCTTTGGTATCATGATTACAACTTGGAAAGCTATAAAATTGTACTTTTCCATTTTAAAGAATGCTACTTAGGCTCAGTTTGGAAGGAGTACAAATACAAATATGTAGCCTGCAAATCTATGTATTTTTGTATTATTTTGTATGTATTTGTGTCGTATATATTTGTGTTTGTACTCCTTCCAAATTGAGCCTTAATGACAATTTAAAAGACAGAATCGTGCGTATCTTCCCCAAGTAAAATCTAGAGCTCTAATAGTTGATATAAATAAGATAAAGAGGTTAACTTAAAGCCCATGAATACTAACCCACTCATTTTTTTTTTGGTTTAACGAGTTGCCTGAATATAACTGACATCATAAAAAAAGAACAATTAGTAGTTAAAATATCATATAATTATGACAAGTGCAGAAATCTTGCTGGAAAATATCATCAAATTCCTTGTAATTACCAAAAAGAGATTTTACTCTTACTCTTAGGCTATGTTTGGTTTGAAGGAAAAGGTAAGTATAGGAAGGGAAAGGTAAGGAAACCCATACAAGATTTGTAAAGGTTTCCTTACCTTTCCCTACTTTTTCCTTCAGACCAAACATAGCCTTAGAGTTACTACTTTCCATTTCTATGCAATCAGATAAGCAAAACTCCATCTACAACTTTCCATTGTATTTTGTTCACAACCAATGGGTAATTCTTACTTTCTCCTTGTTATTTTTTTCTTCATTTTATTCTTCAATCATAGTGTTTTAAAATAGAACTTTGTCCATCGTTAGTATCACCTTTAACAAACTTGTTTTCTGGCCTCCTTAACATGCTTATTTGGAACTTGGTAGAAGCAATTGAATGCCTTATTCCAATTCTTCAATCCTTCATACCAATGATCAGAATTAATCATGTATTTGGAATTGGCTTCTATAAGGACAAGTTGTTTTGGAGCTTCTTTTTGTTGGGTATTTATTTAAGGTAGCTATAGACACAATTTGGAGCTCCACTCTTTTCAAGATGCTCATTTTAGGACACATTCTTCCTCTTGCTGATAGTTGGTGGCTTTTGTTCAGAACTTCAAAGGAGGAAATAAGGGTCTGTTTGGTTCATAGTTGGAATCAGAATCAAAATCAAAATCTTCCAGAATCAAAATCAGAATGGTCCATTTCAATAGTTTGTTAGGTTCATGTAGGAATGGGAATGGGAATTAGAATCAGTAGGAATTGGATTTCATTCCCAAGGGGGTAGGGAATGGCCATTGCCTCAAATGGGGGAATGCCATTCCAGCAGGAATGAGAATGGGATTTCGATTTTTCCCAACCAAACAGTTTGAATCAGAATAGCCCATTCTGATTCCGATTCCAGGCCCCTATTCCCATGAACCAAACAGGGCCTAAATATTTTAATTGTTCTAGGTACCAACAATACTAGAATATTCTTGACCCAAAGATATCAAACATGGTGATTGAATTCTTTCACACATAACAACTCCCCCAAGAAATAAATAATACCAATATGGTTTTCATTCTCAAAAATAATGCCCTAGTAGATACATCCAACCATAGACCCATCAACCTCTATAACATACTATATAAAATTATTTCCAAATGGGTGGTTTAAAGGTTATAGCCTATCTTGCAAGAACATGTACACCTCCCCTTATCGGTATGAGTTCTTAAAAGATAGATAAATCTCAGATAATATCCTACTAGCCAAGGAAATCATTCACATGCTAAGAACTCAAAAAAGGAAAAGGGTTATAACTAAATACATCAGTGCATCTCCRCTCCCACATTCTCAAGAAAAATAGGAGGAGAATCACATCACCACTTACATCTAAGCAAAGGATTACGACAAAGAGACACTCTCTCCCTCTACCTCTTCATCATAGGTATGGAAACCTTACCCAACTGCAAGGGAAAGATTTTACTGAAGGAGTTCTATAGGATATTAAATTCAGGCGAAATGGGTTAGAAGTCACACACCTATTATCCACAGATGATGTCATACTATTTTGTAAAGTTGATCCTACACAAGCCTAATCCTTGTCTCGCATCCTACAGGAATTTGAAGCATTGTCTAAACAAAAAATAAATTATGCAAAGTCATCCATCATGTTCAAATGAAATGTGCCACATCAACACCAAAAATTCCTCTCAAACATGCTCAACATTAAACAACCCTTAAAAGGCTCCAAATACCTAGGCATCCACTAAGGTCTCAAGGAGAGAAGTGTGGGCTCTTACAAAGAGTTGACAGAGAAGCTATCTCAAAAAGTAAATCAATGGAGTACTAAAGCCTCTCTCTCAAGCAGGTAGGAACACTCTCATTTAAGTCAACTCTCCAATCCATACCTGTTTATACAATGCAACCACCATTTTGCTAGTAGAGACACATTCCAACATAGAGAGAACAATGAGAGAATTCTGGTGGTATAACA